TTTCCTACCTAAGCTGATAGCCCTAGCGGCTATGTCAGCGTAACCCTAACTTTAGTAGGTGAGCTCACGGGGCTCAAACCTGACGATGTTGCTAACACGAACCCTAGCAAGAGCCGTGCTTCGCAGAATCTACCACCGGATCGGAAACGCGACCCACTGAGAAGATCCGGCGAGAAACTCAGTGGGCTGTGTCTGAGAGTTAATTTACTCGTCGAGCCCTTCGTCGCAAGCGACGGGTTCGACGAGAACGGTGACCGGTGCTTGAAGTACCTAAAAGCACCGTTAGTGGATCAGGAGGATCCGAGATGACGTGTTTAGGGCGACGTCGACTGCTTTCCATTCTGTCCGCAGGATCGGGAATGTAGTTACCGGCGGCCACGATGAGAGGGTTCTCGTGTCGTGCCGCTTTATCGAAGTGGCGCTATGACTCAGATTAATAGTTTTTTTTGTTACATAGATGTACAAATGAGCCGATGACCCACTGCACGGTTTGAAGTGGTTACCGGAGGCCATGGACATCATTAACCTATATATTAATTCCACATTACAGAGGCCGTGTCCTGTCTCCTGAAAGCGATCGAGATCTACACCGATATGGGTCGTTTCACTGTGGCTGCCAAACAACACCAGGTATGTCTATAGTACCTGCTCTCTCGGATCGAATTTTCGATGGATTTACTAATAAAAAAATGCAATATTGTACCGGTGGTAGGACCTCTTGTGAGTCCGCATGGGTAGGTACCACCACCCCTATTTCTGCCGTGAAGCAGTAATGCGTTTCGGTTTGAAGGGTGGAATAGCTGTTGTAACTATACTGAGATCTTAGAACTTATATCTCAAGGTGGGTAGCGCATTTATGTTGTAGATGTCTATGGGCCCCAGTAACCATTTAACACCAGGTGGGCTGTGAGCTCATCCACCATCTAAGCAATAAAAAAAAGTTATATCTCCGTACTGAATCCTCAAATGCTGATACCCTCGAATCACTGACTAGACGGTCCAAGGTAGAGACTTCAGAGGAGACCGGAGAACAGTCAGTAGAGAGTGAACTGTCTTAGAATGCGGATTCGGCTGTCGGGGTTGCTCTGAGAATTACGTATATCATGCATATTGTATAAATCAAATAAAATAGTTCGTATCCTAAAAAAAGTTTCCTTTTTTAAAACGACCTCAGAGTAAATTTCCATAACAGTATGTACACTTTAGAATAATGACGTTTGTTTTTTTTTTGCCAGAACATTGCGGAGCTGTACGAGACGGAGTGCGTTGACCTCGCTCGGGCAATGCAGCACTACGAGCAGGCGGCCGACTACTTCCGCGGCGAGGAGTCCACCTCCTCCGCCAACAAGTGCATGCTGAAGCTGGCGCAGTACGCCGCCCAGCTCGAGCACTACGACAAGGCCATACAGATCTACGAGCAGGTAACCCTATGGACCCTTCAAAAGTGGACTGGAAACTTCATGAAATAAGTCGTCGTGGCCTAAGAGATAAGACGTCCGGTGCATTCGTGTTGAGCGATGCACCGGTGTTCGAATCCCGCAAGCGGGTGACAATTTTTCTAATGAAATACGTACTCGACAAATAATAATAATAAATAATAAATATTTACTAACAATCACGCCACGTTAACCGGCCCCGTGATAAGTTCGTAAAGAACTTGTGTTACAGGTACCAAATAACGGATATAAATGTAAGATTTTTATTATACACATACATATATTTAATATACATCCATAACCCTGGAAAATACATTTATATTTATCATACAAATATCTTCCCTTGGCGGGATTCGAACCCGCGACCCCTTTGTGTAGTGACCATGTCACTTACCACTACACCAGACGGCCGTTGAAATGTTCACGATTGACTTCCACGGTGAAGGAATAATAACATCGTGTAATAAAAATCAAAATTGCTAAACTATAATTATATGCTTAATTATAATTTGCCTAATTACTGGTGGTAGGACCTCTTGTGAGTCCGCACGGGTAGGTACCACCACCCCGCCTAATTCTGCCGTGAATGAGTTTCGTTTTGAAGGGTGGGGCAGCCGTTGTAACTGTACTCGAGACCTTAGAACTTATATCTCTCAAGGTGCGTGGCGCATTTACCTTATAGGTGTCTATGGGCTCCAGTAACCACTTAACACCAGGTGGTCTGTGAGCTCGTCCACCCATCTATGCAATAAAAAAAATCCAAGATCATGTTGCGAGTCGTCTAGGTGGCTATCGGCTAGGGGCCATCGCCATAGTCACTGAAATATGTAAAGCTTTCTTACTTCTAATGGTGGGACAGCTGTTATTAAAAAAGACTGACTTGATCTTACTGACCTTGACCTTGACCTGAGACTGGAGCGTATATTTTTTTATTTATTTAATGTCTCTAAAGGCATACGACTCCTCTGATCGTCTATCGACAAAGCGTAGGTCTCTGGTGACTCAACGACGTGAGATGGTCTGTTTATAGGAATCGGAAAATGAAAGGTTTCACAAAAAAAATAAACACCATTACACATTTTAAATAAGATAATTGATAAATAACTTTTTTTTTTGTGTGAATATTCAACAGTGAATTAAAGGACCAATTGCCGCCTGCAAGCAAATGACAATCTTTGGCTTTATTGCATTTATAATAAAACCAATTGGTTTCTTGCTTTAATTACAATTTACAAATGCTTTAGTCGTGATTGCACGTCGATGAATGTATGAATCTGACTTTTTCGAAGAGGAAGGGGATCTTGTCTCAATAATGATTTTTGTGAGATATCTTAGGAATATTGTTGAGTGCTGTCAGCACGCGGTGCCGGTAATAGTGAATGTTCCGGTATGACGTTTTGACTGGCTTGTTGTGCTAAACGGGTTAGGCGCCGCTACAATAATATTAATAACATAAATTTAAAGCGATTACTTTAATGATTTCAGATCGCCAAGTCGTCCCTGGACAACAGCCTGCTCAAGTACAGTGCGAAGGAGTACATGTTCCGAGCCGCCCTGTGCCACCTGTGCGTCGACATACTGAACGCGCAGCACGCCCTCGAGAAGTACAGCTCTCTGTATCCAGCCTTCGGGGACACCAGAGAATATAAACTCATCAAGGTCTGTGACTATTCATGATCTGTACCACTCTTCGGTCATAATCTAGAAATGAGACTTTGGCGGGAGCGCGAGGAGTGAAGTTGTGTGATTTGTTTTATTTTATCTATTTAGTGTTTCTTCAGGTTTAAATGTGTAATAACGGTGCTTTATTAACTGTTTAATATCTGTGAAAGTGCACAAATGTGGGAAAATGAAATAAAGCGCTTGTTTAATATCTGTGAAAGTGCACAAATGTGGGAAAATGAAATAAAGCGCTGGACGTAACTTCTCGGGATCTTCCAAAAAGTCCACTGAAAAAATCTCAGTAAATTGCCACCATTTTACTAAGCTTATATTTCATCCCATATTATCTCATTTCATTTCATCCCAGTTGATTAATGTCTCAAATTAATCATCTGCATTACATTTCATTTCGCTCTATATTATCATTTTTTCATAAAAATAAGAGAATATAAATTAAAATAAGACATGACTTAAAGGTCTTACCAGGTCATAAAATCTCTTTAAAAAAATTTTCTACTCTTCGGTCATAATATAAAAATTTCGGAATACATTATATTTTAATTTTAATGCAACTATCGTCTAATTTAATATCAATTGGCTGATTGCTTGTGTAAATATGGACGAAATCAAACAAAATCCCAAGTGCTCAGAGGAACAAGTGCATCAATTAGTAAGTTGTATGTAGTTAAAGTAAATTTCATGCTCTGACTCAAGGCTTTTTAGGTAAGAGATGCTAATGGGCCAAAAAAAAAACCTAAAGCAACGGATGAGGTAATGCTAATGATGAGATATCAAGAGCAAAAAATCCACAGATACAATTATAGATATTTCTAATGGTTTTTTTTAACTGAACTTCATTGCTTACTTATATTTTATGAATTATTTTATTTGGACACTTTACTGAACTAACTTCTAAAGAGATGTAATAACGCATTTTCTATATTTATTTACGTATAATTTTTATTTTTATTGCCATAATGTTCAGACGCGCTAACTGCCCACCGGGGGTGGCAGTATCGGTACCGTCGCCAATGGAAATAAGCAATACCAGGCGCATGGCCAAAGTGCCGCATGCCGAAACACGGTCATCTCACCCCTACTGGAATTCCCTGTGCTATGGGCACCAGAGAATGCTATACAAAATCCATACTAATTTAGTAATAAAAGGAGTAGCTTATGACATTTGTGGAGGCCACTGCGCATAACCGTGGTGCTGTCGTGTGGCTCCGTCGGCCCCCGTGAGTCGACATGTGGTCGCGGCACTAGATCTGATAAAGGATATTACTTAACATTGTTTGTCCAACAGGAGCTGATCGAGCACCTTGAAGACCAAAACGTGGATGCGTACACAGAGGCGGTCAAGACTTACGACAGCATATCCAGACTGGACCAGTGGTACACCACCATGCTGGTCCGCATCAAGAAACAGATCAACGACAACCCGGACCTGCGTTGAAGGTCGTCGAGCGCTAGAGCTGCCGTCGTCGCGTAACATGAAATCGATTTTAACGTTATCGATATTACGAGTAATTGCGGTTATATATATTTAAAATCTTCGATCAACAATAGTAACTAGATAAAGGGATACGTACAAAATTAAAGCAAAAACTGTCCGCGTGAATTTATACTTATATAGCTACATTCGTTTACTAACAAACGGAGAAAAAAGTTTTGAAACACTTTTACGTTCAAACTAATAACAACTATGGCACCTAGTAATAAAGTCACAAATCTCCAAAACATTATCTAATNATAGTGCTGTGTTATCGATTACGATCTAGTTTATAATTTTATCGACGTTTTCAATGTAGTGTTCTAATAGTGTGTTAATAATTCAGCATGGCTACCACAGAACCAGGATATTTCAGATTGTACGCGGCATGTACTGTTTTAATTTCAGAAAATTGCTGAAATTTGAATATGAAAATTAGTTTTCCACCTTTAGACGTTCCTGTGTATTCAGAAGCGTCTAATGAAAAATATTTAGCATTGAATTAATTAACACTAGTGAGAAGTAAATATTATGTGTAAACCGGTTATTAGATTCATGGTGAAAAATACATTATATTGAAGTAATTGTTATGAGATTTTGTAATATTCGTATTGTAATCGATAATACAGCATTGATATAGTATTCAAAGTTTAGTCGATATAATCTAGACATAAGTCTGTTTTTAGGTTCTTTTTTTTTCTTGAAAATAACAGGTTGTTCAGACAACGTTCCAATTAACTATTAAGTACATATATAATATTTATTTTTAACATATTATTGTGTGATCGTTCTGTTATTAAGTTAATTTGAACAACCAATGTGGTTGTTACTGTATATATATATATTTTTTTTTTGTGTTAGTTATAAAAGTCCCATATCCAGTTTTGTGTCGAAATAATAAATCGAATTCTCGTGGATTAATAATAACTTGACCGCTGTGTGATTATCTATCTGGATACGTATAAAATTTCATAAAAACGAAATTTGTATAAAAAGTTTACTCTTTGAATAAAATCGACGCTTGACAGGCAAACGTGACTAAGCGACAATGCGTGAACTTTACAGTAGACTAATTTAAAGTTGAAATACCTGAAAACAAAATTTATTTTAACGAATCCAGCTGTAGTAGAATCTAGCTAGTAGCTGTAGGATTGAAATGATTTTAATAGACCTAGAAATATATATTTTTTGCACGTCGAATATGGTTATTGCCTATTATTTATGTACAAAGCAGTTATTGTCGCTTAGTCACTTTTGCTTTTCAAGCGTCGGTTAATGTTGCTATGAATCGTTTTGAGAGGAAAATTAAAGCGTAAAGGAATTGAATAAACACTATATATAACTCGGAATAAATTTGCAAGAAATTATAATTAACGGAATGGGGCCTGTTCTCGTTTAGTCTTTAATTTTTGATGTTTTTAGTATATTAGGTTTTTTGTAAATACAATGATTATTGTTTCGTTATGAAATAAATTTTATAATTTAATTTGAATTCGTTTTTTTATATATATTTTTTTTCAAAGCGTTTTTTTGGTATGCTACGTCTTAGGATTCTATAGGTTAAATTAAAATATCGGTAGATTTTCAAGAGACATGTTTGGAGTTATCGACCAAAGAGTTTTTTTTTTTATTGCTTAGAAGGTTGGACGAGCTCACAGCCCACCTGGTGTTAAGTGGTTACTGGAGCCCATAGACATCTACAACGTAAATGCGCCACCCACCTTGAGATATAAGTTCTAAATTCTCAGTATAGTTACAGAGAGCTGCTATGGAAGCAGTGTGTTTTTTTTTGTTCTTGCCTATCTATTGCTAGTAACCTCTAGGGGTTTTACTAGCTTCACGGAACGTGTTATTGGTAGTAGGACCTCTTGTGAGTCCGCGCGGGTAGGTACCACCATCCCGCCTATTTCTGCCGTAAAGTAGTAATGCGTTTCGGTTTGAAGGGTAACTATACTGAGACCTTACAACTTATATCTCAAGATGGGTGGCGCATTTACGTTTTTCTTCCTATCTGTTCAGGAATTAAACAAAATGATTAAATATTTTTTTTCATACTTTTAAAACTGCTTTTTATAATTCCATTATTTTCTGCCCATTATTGCTTATGTTGGTGATGCGCACGCGTATGGATCCAAGATCGTGTAGCGTTCAAAAAGGCCACTGCCACATCTAGTTAAAAATACTTCAACCTTAATATTTGAGGACCTCAACCTCTTCGCCGGAAGTCGAAAAAGAAAAGGAAGAATGACAGATGACAGTGACAAAAAAGAAAAGTAAAAAAAACATGTACCTACTTAAGAGGCTTTTAGAAAACTGATTGAGACATTAATACTTATAATTACGACAAGCCTGTTTTATTAAAGAGACCTAACATTAAAGGTCCTAATAGTCCCAAGATCCCAGGGCCCCCAGACGTCACGTATTTTCTGACGAACAAAATGTGGCCGATTGCGTAGTGTTAGTATATATCAAGAACGCATGTCTACCTGTTACCTTGCTTAGACGGTCAATTTTAAGGTATCAGGTACTCAAGGTACATAAAATCATGACCTACTTCATGTATTTTCTGAAAGCTGATTTTTACGTATATTTTAGGCAATATCTTTAATAATAAGTCGCCAATACTCCCAGACACTTTCCGTCGGCCGAATTGCTTTGCAGACGCTTTAAAGGGCCAATCATCGCCTAAATTCAATTTAATGCCTCTGTGGGTAAGAGCGCGAGGGCATTATCCACGCGCATGAGACTGAGTGAGACATGTATTAGGATATATGAGTCGACTATTATCAAAGCCGGCAATCTGACTTTTGGACAATGACTGGTAAATCAGAAAAACGAATTATTGACTTTGTATTCCAGTGGCAGTCACAAAACTCTTCTGAACGACATCTTAGATAAATAACAGGTTAACTATTAACCTTTATTTAATGCAGGTTTTGAACCGTATTCTTTGAAGGAGACAATTATATTCAAATCAATCTGTATTGACATATCAATAACATTTTTTTGTCCAAATGCACAGATTGCCACCTTTGATAATAGACGACTCATATTGACTTCTCGTTTTCGTTTCGTTATGATCACGATCATTTTGTGAAAATTCATTTGCCTACTAAATGACTTACCTCTTAACTCTATGTTAATGTTAGTGCCACTAAAGGCCGCGAGATGGCTTTAGCTGTCTCTAAGTGCTGTCCTAACTATACTTTAATGCATGTCGTTCTTAATACATTATGTACGGTTATATACCCTTCTGCGTAGTTCATTAACTGGTTAAAAGGTGAAAGAACCATTACAATGTGAACTACATTTGCTTGAATCGATTATTTTAATGAGTACCCATATACATATCAGTGTTGTATATTTAAATGAGTGATCACAATACTTACACTTTCGTTATTCAACAATTCATCAACGTTATACAACAATTAACCACCGATAAAAATGACAGAAGGCATCAAGAAGCTTGTTTTTAATTCTACCACGTTTTGGATGACAAAATTATTAAAAAAAAAACACACACACAACTACTGAATCGATAATCTTGACAATTCATTTACTGGAACTAATAATTTTATGCTTTTTTGGTGACACGAGTTCTGGTTCTCGTTGAGCAAGTTTGTTCATCAACTTCAGATGAGCAGACGAGCTCACGGCCCATCTAATGATCAGGGATTAATGTAACCCAAAGATAATTAAAATATGAAAGCCGCCGCGGTAGACAATGTCTCGACTTAAGTCCATTATAAACAAACCGTAATAGTGTTTAATAGATAAAATTAAAAAATAAGAACTGTTGCATGCACTCTTAAAACCGGAATGAATGATTTCGTTCCAGCAGAAATAGACAGTATGATTGAAACTGCCCATGTGGATTTATTTTATAGTACTTACTACCATCAATGAATTTAACCCTCAGACACAGCCCACCGAGTTTCTCGCCGGATCTTCTCAGTGGATCGCTTTTCCGATCCGGTGGTAGATTCTGCGAAGCACGGCTCTTGCTAGGGTTTGTGTTAACAACGTCGTCAGGTTTGAGCCCCGTGAGCTCACCTACTAGTTAAGGTTACGCTGATATAGCCTCTCAAGGCTCTCAGCTTAGGTAGGAAAAAAAAAAAGAATCCGACCACAGTCTATTTGTGGCGGTAGTCATCACAGTACACAAGATATCTGATAAATGCTTGAATCTCGCTAATGACATTTTCAAGGTGAGCTTACATACTTAAGTACAAGTTCCGAACAACAACATTCGGATCGTCAGAGCGGGTGAAGTTGCTCAATGGACCACTAAATATTGATTTAACACTCGGAGAACGCTGTTGCTCCAGACAACAGCCATTTTAAGTAGGCACCTTTAACTAACTAATAAAACTATCGAGCACATTAATAAACTTACAATAATAAGAACGCTATCGTACCAACACAGAGCCATATAATTGTAAATAGACATGCTTTAACAAAAACCGACTTCAAATAGAAAAAAAAAGATATTCCAAAACAAATTAATATACACTAAAAACAATAATCATCGAAATCGGTTGACGTGATAATGAGTTTATGAGTTATTTATCTATTTGACGCGCCCGTACTTAATGCAAATTTAACACATATTTGATTTTCTCATGTATACCATTATCAGAACTGGACTAAATTGAAATGGGACCGACAACACGGGAAGCGTCAGCTTTCTAATAAAAAAGAATCATCAAAATCGATTCACCCAGTCAATAGTTATGAGTAACAAACACTAAAAAAAACTTCAGAGGTGTCAAGGGACACCCGGATGGAACGAAGTTCCTTTCGATTAATTAGTGAAGGAATTGTAATTTTTTTTAAGATATAATAATAAATTACGGCATTATGAAGAAGAAAAAAACAATACTATGAACTAAATTACTATTGTTGAAACGCTATCTCGAGAAACTGTACTCATTACGCGGACCAATCGGATACGAGCAATGTCACGCGATAAGCGCCTACACGTTGATTGGTCAGAATGACGGATCTAAAAAGTATCGTGACAACTTTTCGTAAGATTTTTTTCCGTCTAGCCCC